AATAGTCTTTTGAATAACCTCACTTGTAAAAACAGCTAAAGAATTTTTAGACAAGCCTAACTTTCTAATTTAGGATATTATAATTTTGTAAATACTTTTTTTTATTTTAAAAAAAAAAACAAAACCTACTTCAATATATAACATCTCTTTAATAGGAACTGAATACATTACAGCCTCAATCAAACTTCCGCCTTTGGCTTACTACTGAAGTTCATCCAAAATTTACTCCGATTTTGCTTCAGTCAAGTCTGAAAATAACTTACGAAGTAAGATCTGTTTGGAAAGCTTTTATTCCATGTTTTCAAAGAATGAACTTTGATGTATAGTAAACTATATGTTTAGATAGAATAAAGTTTGGATAATGTGGACTGTTTTCATAGCTGGTTTTGCCTTGTATTTCAATTAGATGTAATACAAAAAATGCTATGAATTTACCTTGAAAAAGATTTTTAATGATCATTTATAATGTATATGTGGAAATTTGCAGAAGCTGTGCTTTAAAAGGAAGGTTTGTAAAATTTCTTTCCAGATATTTTTTCCAATTGAAAGTCTGAACTGAAAGTACTCGTTTGGTTTTGTGCTCCAAATTCTTTTGTGCATTTAATCAGTGTTTCTTAAAAGCAAAAACCTACACAGGTGTTGGGACATGGATGAAAAACAAGGAATTCCTCCTTCTTGATGAATGTGCTCATCTGAAGATCACAGAATCACACTTTCTCTTCCTTATTTTTCTTTTTGGCCCCATAGCTTTATATTCACTGGACCCTTTTAACAAAAATGGCTCTCTTCCCATACAGCAGAATATACAGTTAAAGGCCTTTACTAAAAATTGAGAGCTTTTCTTTCAGAATGGATCAACCTAAGGGATAACTGGGACCATGCTCATCCAACTTGTGGGAATGTGCTCTAATCATTTATGCACTTATGCATTAATGTCCATTATGGAAATCATGGATAGGGGTGCTACTAACTCTTCCATTGGTTATGGAGTGTGGAGATTTTGCCTACAGTTAAACCAAGAAGCTCTGACCTTTTAGAGTCCAATGTTGCTGACTTTCAGGAAGCCAAAATTGTTACACTTTTATATTGACTGCAGGTATTTTTAAACTTCTGGGGTACCTTCTGGCTTATATTGAGGTCTTCAGTGGTACAGAAACTACAGGACTGTATAGGATTGTCACATTTCTTTTCATCTAGCTTCTTGAAGTTACTGATCCCACTATCTTTGGAATAATTGGAACTTCGCACTGATGCAATGTTCTAAATCCTTTTGTTACCTTTTTTATCATTTATAGTAAATATCGTGTTACCACAAAAGGGCAATGATTGCCAATGACTTGACTAATACTATTTTATTATTATATGGTTGTGGTACGTTCCTTAACTGTTACCAATCAAGACATAGATAGTTTAAAAGAAAATCATCAATTGACTACAATATTTTGTTCTTATTTGCCACAACTGTGCATATGCAACATATGCAACTGTGGTAATCTTATGGAAACATTAACAAATATTATTTTTCAAAAGAAAGAAAGAACATTCTTATAAATATGAAAATGTGATTTAAATCTCTTTAAAATTTATGTTTGCCTTCACACTTGCAAATAATTTGAAAATGGCTGGGTATCTAATCGGTTGTTTTTACTTTTAAGCACTGTAATCTTTGTTATTATATACACTTTAACTGCAGTTATTTCTACTGATTGTGAACACTACCTAACACTAAATCAGAGAACTGGCATTTTATCATACATATATAACATATCTATATGCTAACAAACAGAGTGTGGTGATGGCATAAGGCGAGTTGGCTCTGATCACAGAAATGATAATTGGTACTTGAGCTTGTAAAATCAGAAGAAAGTTCTTGTTCTTAAATTCAGAAAATTGAATTTACTTTTAAGCTTACATATTTTGATAGAGTAGTATTCTTTCACTAAGTTCTTTTAGTGTAGTTCAGTCCTCCTATCAGTTGGTCCTGCTTACAATTTCAGTATGTTTAAGTTGTTTAAGCTGTTTTCAGTATAAGATCATTCTGTTGTTAGGCCATTTATTACAAGCAGATTTTTTTCTTGTTAAATTTTGTTTTATTAAGTACTGTTTGTCATTTCATTAAGTTATAAATTGTAAGTTAGAATTTAAGAAAATAGTGCATAGAAGTATCAGGTTTTCTGTCTAGAACAATGTTTTCCCTTCCAATGCAGGCACCTCCGGGCCTCAAAAAGAATCTCTTGCGAACCTATGAATCTTGGACACCAGAGCAAATTAATAAAAAGGGAAATTTGTCTCGAGCACATTCTCTCTTTTGTTTAGCATGGTTTCATGCTGTATGCCAAGAAAGAAGAAATTATATACCTCAGGTAATAATTTTTTTTGCTACCTTTTTAAAAATTTACCCCATTTATTAGCTTTTATACTTGGAAGTATTTTTCATCAGGTATATGTTAGATCATGTTCAGAGATGAGTAAAACTTGGATACTTCTGGTGCCTGCCTTCATTATTGTCTCCGAATTCATTGCAAAATAAGATCTTGGTAGCCTAAATTCCTATCCCCTTGAAAATTGCTACTGCCTGGATGGGGTTATTTTGTGATTTGTGTACTAACTGACACTGATGCAGGAGTGAGGTCCCATGGAAAAGATTATGTGAATCCTGTTTGCTTGGGACAGGAAAAAAAGTTTTGGAAACTTACACGGTTGAATGGAAGATGTGAGAAAAGAGACACTTTGGTGGGAAGGAGGAGATGATACTGTCTACTCTTTCTGCACACAAACCCTGTTCAAGGAGAAGGAAGAACAAGGGAATTTACTCACTTGTTGCGAGGATTATAATGGTTTTCAGACTGTGATGTGTTTTTTCCTTAGATAAATTTTTGTTTAAAGCAAACATTTCTTTCTGGCTGCAGATGCTTAAATTAAACAGAACAAAACCCTAACCAACAAACTGTTCTATGTCTTGTTTATTTTATTTAGAATAGTGGTGAAATTAACCTGTCATCTTAAAGATCTGATCTGACAGAGCCTGGAATGTTTGAGAGTTTTTTATTCATTCTGAGTTTGTGATTTAGAAGGTTGTCTGCCTCTTGTAGTAACAGACTTTGAATATGGTGTTCAAGAAGTAGAATAGGTGAAAATATTTAAAGTACTGATCTGATAGATGAACTCTCATTTGGCTTTGTTCAATTTCACGTTCATTTACGACCAGCTTTCCAAGTGACACAAGACAGGATTACTGCTTTTTCCTTAATTCCACTGTAGCTGTGTTTGTCTCGTGCAGACTTAGTGATGATTTTATATTTTGCTTCAAGATTACCAGTTTCTAACTGGTACAGTTAGAATGCTACAGGCTTGGGGAAGAGTGGCTGGAAAGCTGCCTGGCAGAAAAGGACCTGGGGGTGCTGGTTGACAGCCAGCTGAACATGAGCCGGCAGTGTGCCCAGGCGGCCAAGAAGGCCAATGGCATCCTGGCCTGTATCAGAAATAGTGCGGCCAGCAGGAGTAGGGAAGTGATCGTGCCCCTGTACTCGGCACTGGTGAGGCCGCACCTCGAATACTGTGTTCAGTTTTGGGCCCCTCACTACAAGAAGGACGTCGAGGTGCTGGAGCGTGTCCAGAGAAGGGCAACGAGGCTGGTGAGGGGTCTGGAGAACAAGTCTTATGAGGAGCGGCTGAGGGAACTGGGGTTGTTTAGCCTGGAGA